GTTGCAAACCTTAATCTGGCTTTTTTATGGCGGTTTTGGAGCAGTGGCTTCTTCCTTGCTGAGCGGCCTTTCAGGTTATGTTGATATAGGACTTGCTTTACTGTGGATGTAGATACTTTTGTACCTGTTTCCTCCAGCATCTTCACAAGGTCCTTGCTGTTGTTCTGGGATTGATTTACACTTTTCGCACCAAAGTACGTTCATCTCTATGAGACAGAACGTGTCTCCTTCCTGAGCGGTATGACGGCTGCGTGGTCCCATGGTGTTTATACTTGCATACTATTGTTTGTACAGATGAACTTGGTACCTTAAGGCATTTGGAAATTGCTCCCAAGGATGAACCAGACTTGTGGAGGTCTACAATTTTCTTTCTGAGGTCTTGGCTGATTTATTTTGATTTTCCCATGTTGTCAAGCTTTGAGGCACTGAGTTTGAAGGTAGGCCTTGAAATACATCAACAGGTAGACCTCCAATTGACTCAAATGATGTCAATTAGAAGCTTCTAAAGCCATGACATCATTTTCTGGAATTTCCCAAGCTGTTCAAAGGCACCGTCAACTTAGTGTATGTAAACTTCTGACCCACTGGAATTGTGATACAGTGAATTATAAGTGAAATAATCTGTCTGTAAACAATTGTTGGAAAAATGACTTGTATCATGCACAAAGTAGATGTCCTAACCGACTTGCCAAAACTATAGTTTGTTAACAAGAAATGTGTGGAGTGGTTGAAAAAATAGTTTTAATGACTCCAACCTAAGTGTATGTAAACATCCGACTTCAACTGTATGTTTCCATAGCCTCCGTTTCAGCCTGTGACAGGGGATACACATGACTCCTGGGAGGCACAGCGTCTACCCGGAGGTTTATCGCTCAATCCCCCACCCGATGAGGTGGTAACTTGGTCGCCTGCGTTTTGGAAAACGCGTGCGTCAAATCGAGGTATTCGGGGGGAATGCGCATGGTGGAAGTACTGTCTGGACTTTCCACCGTGGTTGCACCAACGGAAACACAGAGACACCTACCCTGACACTCTCGCGACCACCCTGTGAGAACCCTCTGCGGCCATGAGAATGTGGGGTTGTGGAGTGCTAACCAAGGGATACCTAGTACCACAGGGAAAGCAGGAGACTCAATAATAAAAAACGTGACTTGCTCGCAATGAGTCTCGTGGGTAACCATGGTGATGGGTGCAGTAACTTCCCTAACAAACCCGGACCCTAATGGCCGACTGTCAAGTGCTCTGATGGGGAGTAGAATGGATAGGGGAAACCAATGAAATGCCTAGACTGTGTGAGAATGCCCTGTCCATAAAGTTCCCAGCTGCGCCTGAATCGACTAGTGCCTTACACTGGGGAACTACAATGTGATCAGGAAAGTGGATGGGTAGGGTACAGTGCGCAGCAGAGGGCCCTGAACAAGTGTGGGTGTTCGATACCTGGGGTGAAGCGAGAGTGCTCTGCCTGCCTGCCACCTCCAAACCCAAAAGAACGCTGACGATGTTGTGCGGTGTAATGTCCCTTCGTGCCACCAGAGTGACACTGGCGCTGTCGTCCTCCGCTCTCCCGGATCGCGGCTCCACCCAGCTCCATCAGCTCGTGACCCGAGTCGGCCGGGGTTGGAACGGGCAGACCCCCTCCAGGACATCGTCTGGCTGCCAGCAGGTTGTCCAAACAGATGGCCATGTCCACCAGTTGCGTGAAGGACAACATGGTGTCCCGGCAGGCTAGCTCCATTCAGACGTCCTCCCGCAGATGGCACCGGAAGTGGTCGATAAGGGCCCGCTTGTTCCACCCGGACCCAGCTGCTAGAGTCCGAAACTCCAAGGCGAAGTCCAGCGCAGTCCTCGTCGCCTGCCTCAGGTGGACCAGCCGCTCGCCCACCTCTCGACCTTCGGGCGGGTGAGGCAGGAGACGAGGGCGGACACCTTCTCCCGCTCCGATGGGACCAGGCTGATGCTGGAGAAGTAGAGCTCCAGTTGGAGGAGGAATCCCTGGCAGAGAGCAGCTGTCCCATCGAACTCCCGTGGTGGGGATATATGGATCCCTCTGGGTGCTGGGGTGTGGGTGGCTGGATCCGGTTGCCCAGCAGGTCTCGACAGATTGGGTCCTCTCCTCTCCAGGCATTGGACGACCTGGAGAACTCGATCCATCGCTTCTCCCAAGCTGGCTAGCATTGTTGAATGCTCCTGGACCTGTGCCATGAGTCCAGGCATGCGCTCCTCTCCCGCTGACTCCATAGTGGGTGGGTGATTCTGTGATGCGTGATTTGAAGGAGTCAGGTGCAGGAGGGTAAATCACAGTATACAGAGTTTATTCCGTAATCCAGCGTAACCAGTCCAGTGCGCAAAACAGGCACACTGGAACAAACATGCACACAGGGAAAATACCCCGGCAATACAAAATACTGAGCTCAACCGAGCTACTAATCCTCACAATGAACAGTCACCCACAAAGGACAAGGGGGCAGAGGGAACACTTAAACACGTACTAATGAGGGGAAATAACAACCAGGTGTGTGTAATTGACAAGACAAGACAAATGGAATGATGAGATATGGAGCGGCAGTGGCTAGAAGGCCGGTGACGACGAATGCCGAAGCCTGCCCGAACAAGGAGGGGAGGCAGCTTCGGAGGAAGTCGTGACAGTTCAAGTGCGCCTAGTATGTGTGGTCTCGTTGAAACAGAGTAGGCTGCATACATGGGTGGAGAATCACATGGCTGTTAACTTAAATAACTTAAATATGAGTCGACTGTAGTTTACTAGAGTGTCTGTAAATAATTATTGATAATGGAAAGAAGTGGACGGTGCTCAACCAACGTAAATTGAAGTGCAATCCAAAAATGTAATCATCACTGAAAAGGAAAAGGCACAACACACACATAGGTTAGGCTACATTTTCAATAAGTATTGATTACCCATTATTTGTCTTTGCCAGCAAATCGTCCTCCTAAACGGTAGGCTATATCCTATAGGACTATACAAAACGTAGCAAGTGTCGCTGTCATCATTCTTGCTGCTTCAAGTTCAGTAGCCATACCTGCGAGATCAGGTACGTGTGTGGTCTCAATTAAATAGAGTAGGCTATAGCCTATGCATGGGCGGAGAAGCACGGGGCAGTTATCTTTCCAAAGAAATGTACTTCCTATATAGTTTACTACATTGCCTAGAAATAGGCCTAAATATTGATCACCCATATTTCTCTGTCTGAAAATCTTCCCACTACTAAAAGGTAGGCAAAATAAATAGCTAAAGAGAAAGTGCAAATCTCTCCTACTCTGCTCTTTTCTAACTACAACTAGCATATTGGCTGATATAGCCCAGTAATACAAATATCCTAATATAAGGGCCATGTGACAATCTCTGGTACTTTAAACTATTTCTTAAGTTATTTTTGTGCATTTGATATTGCCTATTTGGCACAAAATTGCTGGGACCATGGCTGGCAAGTGAGCTGTGTCACATACGCCTAAAATAACATTGCGGGACTGCGGTTGGGTTTGGGACCAGTTCTTGCAGGCTGAGATTGGTATGAAAACCTGTGGGTGCGGGTGGGAGCGGGATGAAGAAATCAGTCCGTGCAGACCTCTTCTGTGCACCATGATAGTGAAGCCTGTAACGTTAGAGCTGTTTATTACTGTGTCAGTATGAAAAGTAGGGAATTAGCTAGGGAAGCTGACAGATCAATAATGTTAAATTGCCATACTGACTAATAGAAACTCACATTGCACGGAAAAAAAGTCAGAATATCAATCTTCAATCTTTTGGCTGATGGTTTCATTGTTTGATTCAGGCCTAGAACGATTGAGGCAAAAATAATAGCTAACGTTAGCCAACTTTTGGCCAGCTCTCTCTCTTTAATGATACATCAGCTGGTGAATGCTAGCCAAGTTCATTTACTTCTGTTGAAACGGGACAAAACAAAGGCTACAAAACATGTCCATACAAGCAACTGCTGTTAGATAGTAATAATAGCCACCTCATATCGCTATCTGACAGATAGCTAGAGGCTAGCGCAGCTAATTCATTCACCTCAGTCGAGATAGGATGAAACATTAGCTAACGTTATATGTCAGTTACACTAGCTAATAGCTCAGCACTGCGAATAAACACTAGTTTAGTTTTTTTCCATCAGTCAACTAAAGAGTCGCCAGTTTCTGCTCTGCTTGCTTTTACAACTCAGAAAAAGAGTGTAACACACTGAGAGCAGCTGCCTCTGTTCAACTCTCCAGTGCTGGTCCAGTCAGCCTTCCAGAAGCTTTGCCTTTTACACAGACTGTCAGCCCGCTCTGTGGTGTCCGCATGGTCCTAAATACAGCCGGCTGAACACTCCAAACAGCCTACCGGACTGCTCTGAGGCGTCCGCGTGGTCCTAAAGCACACCGTTGCCTCGTTTTGTATCACATTGCAATGATAAAACTGGGGGGGACAAAAATGCTATTTCAGAATGTGGGGGCGGGACATGACCCCCCCATCCCCAGTGAAAGTTGTGCACCTGTATTTCAGAGGAATTTACTTTAAAATATGGGGCTCATAGGACAGAACACATGGAACAATAAATTCAACTAGTAAGATACATTTTTGTCAAAGGATGTTTTTGGCTCAGATCTGAGGGAGAAAGATGGAAGAAATTGCATCCAGTAGTGATTATTCAATGGTACTTTGTTTATATCATAATTTCCAATATGGCAGGTCATGGCCTCCTTAATTGTTCTACTGCTTCCAAGTCTAAATGACACAGAGGAAACATGTTCTCTCTTTGTGTGGCCCCGTGCAAGTCTTAACAAAATGAATGTGGATAAACAGGAATTTCATGATTAGTTCCAGAGCTCAAAGAGGAGAGTAAGGTCCATCAGTTATATCACCACTGTGTTAAATCTTTTTTATCCAGTAAATCAAACTATTACTCATAGTAATGTATGTGCATTGCTTTGTGTGTCAAGTTATCACATGCATTCACCTGTTATTTATTATTGATTTTCTATGTATTTTCCTCAACAGGGATGCAGAGACATTCTTGTTGGATTCCAAAAAGATCAAGGCCTCTGATGGGGGCTGGCTGGTCTTTGACATCACAGCTACCAGTAACCACTGGGTGCTGAATCCACTGCAGAACATGGGCCTACAGCTCTCTGTTGAAACTATGGATGGTAATGGAAGCATTACTTTTCTTCAGCCTTTGTTGTTGCTGGGAATTACATATAAAAAGCAAATGTCAGTTAAACTTTGTAGTTACCCCAAAGCTGGTCTTCCAAGGTCACACCCAAGTTCTTTGCCATCTTGTAGTTAGACACAGCTGTCCATAGAGGAGAGGTTAGGTCTTTATTGTCAGGGTTTGAGGTTGAGATGTTGATGTTTACCATGAAGAGATACATAAATATATGTCAGACGAGAGAAGGACAGACAGAGCTGTTCGCCTTCTGCATAGCAAAGGTAGGATAAGCCCTGTGAAGAGAAAACAGAGCCCAGTGACATGGTCGTGGTCTACAAAGAGAACACCAGGGGGAGGAGAACTGAGCCCTGGGGAACACCTGTTGCTTGGCTTCATGGTGAGGACAGATCCTCTTCATGTCATGTGGTTGTAGTGATCATCTAGAGATGCCCATCCCTCATAGAGGTGGGGATTCAGAGCAGGATCTGATGTTTCACATGTGTCAAATGCAACTGACAGGTACAAGAGGATGAGAGCGTATAAGATCGCAGTTTTAGTAGTGAAGAATTTAAGTCAATTCATATGTTCATTTGTGCATTTTTTTAAAGCACAATGTTAATGTTACCATTAAAAATATATATATAACGTATGCACACTAGAGTAAATTGAACTATAATCCTTGCATCTATTATTATGATATTAATATTACATTACATTTACATTTACATTTACGTCATTTAGCAGACGCTCTTATCCAGAGCGACTTACAAATTGGTGCATTCACCTTATAGCCAGTGGGATAACCACTTTACAATGTTTTATTTTTTTTTTAAATGTTTTGTTTTAAATTTTATAATATATATATAATATATATATATATATTTTTTAAATGGGGGGGGTGGGTTGGGGTAAGGGGGGGGGTAGAAGGATTACTTTATCCTATCCCAGGTATTCCTTAAAGAGGTGGGGTTTCAAATGTCTCCGGAAGGTGGTGAGTGACTACGCTGTCCTGGCGTCGTGAGGGAGCTTGTTCCACCATTGGGGTGCCAGAGCAGCGAACAGTTTTGACTGGGCTGAGCGGGAACTATGCTTCCGCAGAGGTAGGGGAGCCAGCAGGCCAGAGGTGGATGAACGCAATGCCCTCGTTTGGGTGTAGGGACTGATCAGAGCCTGAAGGTGCGGAGGTGCCGTTCCCCTCACAGCTCCGTAGGCAAGCACCATGGTCTTGTAGCAGATGCGAGCTTCAACTGGAAGCCAGTGGAGTGTGCGGAGGAGTGGGGTGACGTGAGAGAACTTGGGAAGGTTGAACACCAGACGGGCTGCGGAATTCTGGATGAGTTGTAGGGGTTTAATGGGATAGGCAGGGAGCCCAGCCAACAGCGAGTTGCAGTAATCCAGACGGGAGATGACAAGTGCCTGGATTAGGACCTGTGCCGCTTCCTGTGTAGGCTAAAGTTGGCTAAAGACGGCACGCTCAATAGTTTTGGAGAGAAAAGAAAGAAGGGATACTGGTCTGTAGTTGTTGACATCAGAGGGATCGAGTGTTGGTTTTTTGAGAAGGGGTGCAACTCTCGCTCTCTTGAAGACGGAAGGGACATAGCTAGCGGTCAAGGATGAGATGATCAGCGAGGTGAGGTAAGGGAGAAGGTCACCGTAGATGGCCTGGAGAAGAGAGGAGGGGATAGGGTCAAGCGGGCAGGTTGTTGGGCGGCCTGCCGTCACATGTCGCAAGATTTTATCTGGAGAGAGAGGGTAGAAAGAAGTCAAAGTGTGAGCAGGACCAGCAGTGTCATTTGACTTAACAAACGAGGATCGGATGTCGTCAACCTTCTTTTCAAAATGGTTGACGAAGTCATCCACAGAGAGGGGGGGGGGGGGGGGGGGGGGGGGATTCAGCAGGCAGGAGAATGTGGCAAAGAGCTTCCTAGGGTTAGAGGCAGATGCTTGGAATTTAGAGTGGTAGAAAGTGGCCATAGCAGCAGAAACAGATGAAGAAAATGTAGAGAGGAGGGAGTGAAAAGATGCCAGGTCCGCAGGGAGTCTAGTTTTCTTCCATTTCCGCTCAGCTGCCCGGAGCTCTGTTCTGTGAGCTCGCAATGAGTCATCAAGCCACTATCATCACATCAAGCCATTATTGACCATGAATCAATAATAAAGCATCGTCGTGGTTTGAGATTAGTGCTGTCTAGCCAAGTGTAACGGACCTTGCATTTGCTCATATCAACAATGCAAGCTTACATGATGCAAGGTTTTGTACCTACTTTTGGTTGGTGCAATTAAAGACTTTCATTCCAAAACGCTATATATCCATTTTCAGAAATGTTGGTAAATTATATTTTATTGTGGAAAGAAATTATGAAAGAGATTGGTGTGTTTTTCACTATCTAGTCATGGCATGGGGTTGTTCAATGACAGACATGTATTTGTTTAAAATCTATCACTTGATGGTTTCATTTCAGAGAGACAAATAATAATGTTATTTTGCAAAATGTTATATACAGTATCCGCCTCACTGTCAGAGAAATACGTAGTACTGCTAGATTTTACACACGTTTGTTTTACACAAATTTACAAATGATACATTTGTGACATCAATATAATTTAAAAATATATATATATATATATATTCTATACAGTAATATGAGATGTATGCAGATGCTCTTATCCACAGCAACTTACAGTTAGTGCATTCATCTTAAGATAGCTAGGTGAGACAGCCACATATCACAGTCAAATATACAGGATACGACCATACCATTCCAGCTAAACAATGGATACATAGCGTTTTGCAAAAAAAAAACATTTTCATACACATCTAAAATCTATGAATTAAAAATCTGAGAACAATAATATTTTACACACACATGAAGGTACCCATAAGCAATAATTTCTGATTTAAAAACTAATGTGAACGATTGGTGGATATAGCCTTTTGGAAATAAACGCTTATATTGCTCCCCTATATCATTGCATTTGATTAGATGGGAATCGAATTATGTTTCTGTTTGCTGCTATTCACATTGCTTGTTGTTTTAAAAGGACGGAGTATCAACATGAAGTCTGCTGGCATCGTTGGAAGGAATGGACCACAATCCAAACAGCCGTTCCTAGTCTCATTCTTCAAGGCCAGTGAGGTGTTGCTGCGCTCTGTCAGGGCCACTGGTGGAAAGAGGAAGAATCACAATCGCAACAAATCAGGTGGTCAACAGGATTCATCACATGCACCGAAAAGTGGAGGTGGGCATATTAAACGACCATAATTGACATTGTTTTGGGTTTCGACTGGAGTAGGTTGGAAAATTAACTTCAAATAATACAACGACTTTTGAGGGGTTGATGGCAAGCCTTACAGTCAAATTTGTCTACTCAAGCAGTCTCTTGTTGCCAATTAGTCTTGTTTTGGCAGCATGATGTTCCAATTCATAAATCACAAGTCTTAGTAATCAACTGCAGTACACATGTACTGTAGATCGATATAAAACAGATAGATTTTCAAAATAATAAACCTATCTGCTCAATCTATTACCCTTCCTTCAACTCATTTGGATGGTCCATGGATAAGGATGGTCCATGGATATTAACATGTAATGCTCACCTCATACAAATACTCTAGCTAAACTACACAGAACATCCCCAATGACCCTCTCTTATTTTAATTTGGCTGTCATTTTATAGAAGTCTATGTGCACTTGCTTCAGCTCTGCAGCTGTTTTGAACTGATGTGGTTCAGTGCGTTAGGGACACCCATTCAACACATCTTCAGTGGCCGCTTTAATGTAATAACAATAACTGAGTTGGTGATGCCATTTGCTGTTAACAGTTTGTTAACATTTCATTAATAATTTATTTGGAATACATTTCCTATTGTCCAAAATAATGTTACTGTGGGCAATTTGGTTGGTGATGCCATTTGCTGTTAACAGTTTGTTAACATGTAATTAATAATTTCTTTGGAATACATTTCCTATTGTCCAAAATAATTTTACCGTGGCCAAAAAAGTGAGGGAAAAAAGTATTTGATCCCCTGCTGATTTTGTACGTTTGCTCACTGACAAAGAAATGATCAGTCTATAATTTTAATGGTAGGTTTATTTGAACAGTGAGAGACAGAATAACAACAAAAAAATCTAGAAAAACGAATGTCAAAAATGTTATAAATTGATTTGCATTTTAATGAGGGAAATAAGTATTTGACCCCCTCTCAATCAGAAAGATTTCTGTCTCCCAGGTGTCTTTTATACAGGTAACGAGCTGAGATTAGGAGCAAACTCTTAAAGGGAGTGCTCCTAATCTCAGCTTGTTACCTGTATAAAAGACACCTGTCCACAGAAGCAATCAATCAATCAGATTCCAAACTCTCCACCATGGCCATGACCAAAGAGCTCTCCAAGGATGTCAGGGACAAGATTGCAGACCTACACAAGGCTGGAATGGGCTACAAGACCATCGCCAAGCAGCTTGGTGAGAAGGTGACAACAGTTGGTGCGATTATTCGCAAATGGAAGAAACACAAAAGAACTGTCAATGACCCAAAACACACGGCCAAGGCAACAAATGAGTGGCTCAAGAAGAAGCACATTAAGGTCCTGGAGTGACCTAGCCAGTCTCCAGACCTTAATCCCATAGAACATCTGTGGAGGGAGCTGAAGGTTCGAGTTGCCAAACGTCAGCCTCGAAACCTTTATGACTTGGAGAAGATCTGCAAAGAGGAGTGGAACAAAATCCCTCCTGAGATGTGTGCAAACCTGGTGGCCAACTACAAGAAACGTCTGACCTCTGTGATTGCCAACAAGGGTTTTGCCTCTAAGTCATGTTTTGCAGAGGGGTCAAATTACTTATTTCCCTCATTAAAATGCTAATCTATTTATAAAATGTTTGACATGAGTTTTTCTGGAATTTTTTGTTGTTTTTCTGTCTCTCACTGTTAAAATAAACCTACCATTAAAATTATAGACTGATCATGTCTTTGTCAGTGGGCAAACGTACAAAATCAGCAGGGGATCAAATACTTTTCCCCCCTCACTGTACCAGAGTGCTCACAGGTGGTAAAAAAAAAAAAAAAAAAGCCTAATGATACATGAGGAACTGATAAACTTGCAGATTAATTGAATGTTTCTTGTTTTCAGATCATAACACCAGTGAACAGAAACAAGCCTGCAAGAAGCATGAACTTTATGTCAGCTTCCGAGACTTAGGATGGCAGGTAAGAAAGATGGAATACTATTTGAACCTATTGTCTATTCTACACTGTCATAAGCATGCCAGAGCAGATGTCACATAGGCTGCGTTTAGACAGGCAGCCCAATTCAGATTTTTTTTCTCCACTAATTGGTCTTTTAACCAATCACATCGGATCTTTTCACATCAGATCTTTTTCAGAGCTGATCTGATTGGTCAAAAGACCAATTAGTGAAAGAAACGCAGCCAAGGAGTCATAACATGTGTGTTACAAATATGTGTGTGTTTGTAAAAAGCACCTCTTTTACTTTCAACCATGTTATTTGGGGTATTCAATGCAGTGCACGAGAAACAGACAGATAATATGAATGACTAAAGAAAACACATCAAGTGTCAATGAAGTTTCTTCAATATTCAACGAGGAGCACGTTGAGGCTTATTTGGTCTTTTTTTATTCTATTTGAAGGACTGGATTATTGCACCTGAAGGCTACGCTGCTTTTTACTGCGATGGGGAATGTTCTTTTCCACTCAATGCGCATATGAATGCGACAAATCACGCCATTGTGCAAACCCTGGTAAGTGCAAACCCTTGAAAGTTACTTATTTGAATTCATATTGAATTTCTTGACCAATATGGTGATAATTAATCCCACACCATATAGATTTTCTGAGCTGCTCAAACTGCTGCTTTGATGCTATCTCTTTTCTGTACTCAGTCCTTTCTTTCTTTCTTTCTTTCTTTTTTTCTTTCTTTCTTTCTTTCTTTCTTTCTTTCTTTCTTTCTTTTTTTCTTTCTTTCATTCTTTCTTTCTTTCTTTCTTTCTTTCTTTCTTTCTTTCTTTCAGTCATTTTAGTTTATATTTTACGCAGTCCTTTCCATTCACTTCCACAGGTCCATCTGATGTTTCCTGACAATGTGCCAAAGCCATGTTGTGCACCGACCAAGCTGAACGCTATATCTGTGCTTTACTTTGATGACAGCTCAAATGTCATCCTCAAGAAATACAGAAACATGGTCGTCAGGTCATGTGGTTGCCATTAACGGGCAAGCAGCGTTATATTTCAGATATGTGGTATTGCTGGATAACTACATATCGATTTAGATAGAGCGGATGGTGTGATGTACAGTATTATGTATATATTAGTTGTATTAACTTATTTATTTCCCCCTATTTTTGTGATAACACTCGATATTGTACAATGAATATGACTTAGAATATTAAATTAGAGTCCATGTATATTTGACATCACTTGGCACTCTCTCCTATAGGCCATAGCGAACATATACAGGTACATTGTTATAGTTACAGCATTTCGTTGTACATCTTAGTAAAAGGAAACTTCTAGATCCTATATGGATCTATTGGACATATTGTTATTGGATACGGTTCAACTAAGTATACACATTTTTCCAACGTATCTTTTTATACAAGCACACCTACACTCTTAGAAAATAATTTGCTATCTTGAACCTAAAAGGAGAACCCTTTGAAGAGCCCCTTTTGTTTCCAGGTAGAACCTTTTGGGGTTCCATGTAGAACCCTTTCCACATAGGGTTCTACATTGAACCCAAAAGGGTACTTCTATGGGGACAGCCGAAGAACCCTTTTGGAATCTTTTTTTCCAAGAGTGTATAGCACTGTTTTTCAAACTGTTACATTAGATTACATTTTCAAACCATAGTTTTAAACCATTCTAACCACTCAAAAAAGGTTTACAAAATGCTGCTACAGTAAAATGAGGTAAAATCTTAGGACATATCAGAAGAAAAATGTTTGTATAGCTACAGTACCTTACCTAGAAATAGTGTCAATTATTGCATCAACATTGTATTATTACGGTTTTGTAAGCACATTATAACCTATACTACCCTATGCAACTTGTAACAATTTATTGGATTTCTCCATCAGCTATGTTAAAAGCAGAATCCCTATTCATGTCATTGAGTGAGTAACCGCCCGGCACAACATAAATCCCATTACAAGGTATGACGTAGAAGAGTAAAGTAAGTATTTCAAATAGGTCCCCTTGAATAACACTCTGAGTTTTTCCTCCAGGCTTGACGTTAATCATATTTACACTGTGCACAGGCTTCAAACAGTCTATCATAAAAATGGGTTTGGAAAAACTTGTGGTTGTTTATACGGTATCCTTAGACTTCTGGCTATAAAATATATGTATATATCATGTTTTATATCAAATAAGTTATGCTGAAAGGTACTTCCTCTACGCCAAAGTATCTTATAGCTACACTCTGTTGAATATATATTTCCAGAGCATTCACTGAAAAAACATGAGGACTGGCCTGCTATATTCTCAGACCCATAGTTCAATAACAGTCTATTGTAGGAATATATGAAAACTAGGCAAAAGTTGTGGAGTAGCTCTCTTAAAAGTACTTAATGGCCAGTATATATTTTCATATTTTACATACTCAATACGTAATGGATGAAACAACCCTAACATGCTGACTAGACCGGCCATGTTGCATGGGTGAGTGTTGCAAAATAAATGTACACATACTGTACATGTTATTCAATCATGTCATCCAAACTGCTAGCATGTGTCAACGGGCGTCTGGGTAGCCAGGCGCTAAAGTAGAACTTGGTTCTATTTGAGAAGCTTGACGCGCTACAAGTCCCGCCTCTCCCATCTACTCTTTTGTTTTCACGACCATACTAACCCACATGGGTGATTGAAAAATGAACGAGGAGAGATTAATCAAAGAAAAAGGACAAAAAAACAAACTAGGTTTCCCCTTTTATCTGTGGATTAATTGTCGGAGTAGAGAACACACAATTTTGTATGACTCAAAACGGGACAAAATTCTACAAAGGACCATATGCATTTCAGGTAAAATAACAACCCAATGTTTATCTCCCAGGACAAATTAGCTAGCAACAGCAAGCTAGCTAAATGTCCTTTAATGTTTCATGTGTGTTTCAACTTGTCCCCAAATTAATATAGTTGGTTCACAGTTGGTTTTGGTATTTTAACCTGCGTGTCATGAACGCGTCTGGTGGGGAGAAACAAAAACAACATGCGTAAGATGGCTCATGCGGATACAGGGGCCGGTTTGGTCAAGGTGTGAGAAAATACATTGTTTGCCCAATTGTGGTTATATCACTGTTATTTTTGTATTATTATTGATGTTATATTATTATTGTCATGTTGTTATGCTTCATAGTAATTTGAGTAATATATGTTTGGGAAAAATACAGGTTACTGTATTATTAGTGTTGTTTACGTATTATTAAATGATCTTTTTGAAAATATTGCTTCCAAATACTTTCAATGTATTGTTAATTAAACCAAAACACATTATAAAGTAAACAGACAATTTACATCCCTTAAAAGATTTTCAGTTTAAACTTGAAAATAACTATTTTCCCCACTCACAAAGGCCCTAAAACACCAATCCTACCTCAAAGAAACTCCATTGACAAACACTCTCTTTTCTCCTCCAGCTGCAGGCCTTCAGGTCTTTCAAATCCAAGTTGTCTTCGTGTATTAATGTTTGGAATTCTCTGGATGTTTTATGCACTGTTGCCGGACTACCGTCTGAGATGTATAAATGTTTGACAAGTATGATCTAAACATAGGGGTCCACCCAGGGAGCCTGTACATCTGCTGTGTAGTGAGAGACTGCTAGTGTTTAGTGGTGCTGGGAGCTACAGCAGAGCTCTGCTCTCTCCTGACTCCTGTCAGGGAGGATTACAACATCATATTGTTGCTGTGTGTAGTGATCTACAGTCACTAGGCACCAAAGAGGAGGTCCCTCCTATTTTGGAGAACATAGAATAAATATATGGTTTAGACCATACAGTGCTCAAATGTTTTACTGCTACGTTATTGTTTAATACATAGTATAGCAGTATCATCAGGGTTTGAGTTACGGTGGTGTGATCACAATGGTTGTTTTCGTCTTTGTGAGCACTTAATCATGAGCCCTGCCAAGCAGCTGTTGGTAAAGCACCGTTGTGCATGGGGTTTCCATAGAGAAGTGACCTTTTAAATCAACTAGCTAGGAAATCCAAGCTATTAGAAAGATAATTACCAAGAGGGAGAATATCTAAATGGATTTGGTTTTCTCTGTGACACACAAACACTTTGGAGACACATTTCAGTTCAAGACAGTTCTACTTCATTTTCTGACCACTGACAGTGCCTCCTATCCCTCGAGATGAAAAGAGAAACGATAATATTAGTTCCCATTCTAGCTCCCACTTGGCTCAAATGGAATGAAGAACAGATAGTTAACCATTGAGGAAATTGCCCCTAATAACCACTAACACACCAAGAGCAGGATTCAGTCAAACTTCTTGTTTATGCAATGTACATAAACAGTAGCGGTGTGTGGGTAAAATCACTGGGGAGCCAGAAAGAAAAGCCACATTACAACCTACAGTACCAGTCAAAGGTTTTGACACAGCTACTCATTCAAGGGTTTTTCTTTATTTTTTACTATTTTCTACATTGTATAATAATAGTGAAGACATCAAAACAATGAAATAACACATGGAATCATGTAGTAACCAAAAAAGTGTTAAACAAATCCAAATATATTTTCTATGTGCGACTATCATTTGTTTTTCAACAGGACAATGACCCAAAACACACCTCCAGGCTGTGTAAGGGCTATTTGACCAAGGAGAGTAATGGAGTGCTGCATCAGATGACCTGGCTTCCACAATCACCCAACCTCAACCCAATTGAGATGGTTTGGGATGAGTTGGACCGCAGAGTGAAGGAAAAGCAGCCAACAAGTGCTCAGCATATGTGGGAAATCCTTCAAGACTGTTGGAAAAGTATTGCTCATGAAGCTGGTTGAGAGAATGCCAAGGGTGTGCAAAGCTGTCATCAAGGCAAAGGGTGGCTACTTTGAAGAATCTAAATTATAAAATATATTTTGATTTGTTGAACACTTTTTTGGTTACTACATGATTCCATATGTGTTATTTCATAGTTTAATGTCTTCACTATTATTCTACAATGTAGAAAATTGTAAAAATAAAGAAAAATGAGTAGGTGTGTCCACATTTTTTAACTAGTACTTTATGTGTTGTGATCATTGCGTTGTTTGCTCTATAACCTGTTAGTTCATATGCATTGATACCGTTATACTGTATATACAGTAGGCCTAAAGCCGAGACAATAAGAAGACACAGTGGCAGAATAAATTCAACCACACCTTTGTTTTATCACAAAACCAGAGAGCAACCTCTGTCCGGTGAAGTCCACAAAGCATATTGCATGTAACAAACAGTTACATGACCTACAGCATGGTCAAGCAAGTTAATGTTTCCGACATTTTCGGACTACTAAACAACTATTGATTTAGAAGTCTCATAGCAAAATAGTACATGCTTTTAGTTTTTGTTGTCCTAGGCTACCTGGCTAAAATGCTTGCTCGCTAGCCTAACTTCATTTCATGCGCAACGATGAGTCAGTCAGTTAACATTAGCCTACTACATCTAGCTACATATTGAATTTCCATCCTCACAGGCCAGGGGCAAAATGTATGAACATATGGTTGGATCAGAATCGCTTTTATAATCATTGGCCAGTAAGGAGAATTAAGTAAAACCACAAGTCCAAATCCCTATCTCTAAAGGGACCATTTTAGCTAGCTAGCTAGTATCGTATCTGAAGATTATGCCTTTGTTAAATGTTTTTCATGAAGAAATGGAATGTTGTTTGTGTTAGTATCAAGAGGGAATGTTTTGGGTGTGACGTCACATATGACAGACAGGAAGTGTGTTGTAGACACGGGGATTGGACAGTAGAGGGAGCCACTCACATCTTGGAAGGTTATATATAAGGGGGGAACAACGACGGAGGGGCAGAACGAGCAGCCATTCGGAGGCGTCGCTCTCCGGGTGTCATGTCACCTGTCATTTATGCTGTAACCTCGTGATTTTAATAAAAGCCTCTAACACGATGCAGCATAGACGGACTCTTTGTTGACAGCAATAATGGCCACCATTCACCCGATACGACACTAGCCACCGGAGGACAACAACGCAATGAGATGCAACA